CCCATTTGTTTGCTTTAAAGCCCTGAACCTCATGCCTCAGGGCGTAAGTTAACTATCTGCAGGACTCTCTCTAGAGGGAAGGTTGGTTGTTGTGTTGGTTTTTTTTTAACCTGATCCTTCAGCAATGCAGATGTTACTAGGAGTTATTCACCTTCCTGAGCATCAACTACAAGTCACAGCAGTTGGAAACATTTGTATTTTTGGTACAAATCTCATCCTGTGTCACATTAACAAAAGTTACTATAATCAATAAAACTACACTAACCTGGCAACAGAGTCCATTGCCAGCACTGACACTTGAGCAGGGAAAATTTTACTGATTTTTTTCCAAATACCAGCTTAAAATCAATGCAGCATCTCCAAAGTTTATCTAGTTTCTCAAGTGCAACTTGCATAGATACATCCAGAGTAGCTTTTTACAAGTAGTGCAGCACCAGAAGCTGCTTTACCAACTACTTTGTTAGCTGTTACCTGAAAGTATCAACCTTTAACTTACTGTGAGCCTAGTAATCCTGCTTCTCTCTTTGCTGCTGCTGCCCTTCCTGCAATGCAAGTCATCTAAACTGAAATGGCAACTTCTCCTCTGGACAGGAGAGGTGGGCTGGCCTCCTATGCATTTGCATCTGCTTTGCAAACAGAAAGATGAACTCCACTCATCACCTGCCACATGGAATCCTTATCAAAGCAAAGATTGCTAGAGGGGAGCATTTCATTAAGACTAGAAATTCTTTCGGGAGCACAGTCACAAGTGCCCTGACATATAAAAACGTATATAACTTCATCTAGCGAGACAGCTAACACTCGGATGGAACAAAAGCACTTTGTCTGGGTTAGATAAAAACCAATAAATAGCACATGTCTAACTCCTCCCTGTGCATGAAGATTTTAAAGTCCAGAAGAGGTCATCATATGTTGTTATAACTAAGAAGACATTCAGTTGTCCTGCTTGTTAACCAGAATCTCTGTAACTATAGGGAACTACAGTCTGCAAGCTCTCTCCCACCTGAGCAGCACCTTACTCTGCTTATTTGGTGATGGTAATTGATGGAAAGGAGTATTTAGTTAATTAAGACATGGCAATATATCAGCTAGAGGAAAAACTAGAAGGACTTCCATACCACTGAAAAGTATCTTAACGTAAGGTAGAACATTAATTTTTGTTGCTACATCTCTTTGTATACTTGCTGAATGTCTCAGACTTTGGAATGCAAGACTGGGCAGGAGAAGAGAAGTTCAGTATGTACAGAAGACGTTAACTTTCACAGTTCATTTCTTAAAGCAGGAATGAATGCTGACAAACACCACCTGCAAAGAAAGATGCAGAAAGAAGATGGGCTGTCAGTCATGAAATAGCCTCCTCTCTTCCTTACAAACACCTATGTATTTATTGTACACCACAGTGAGAAGCTCAAGCACAAACGGGACAGTAAATCTATACAGCATTTGCAAGCCCTAGTTGAGACTATTGTATTCAAAATATTTGAATACAACTTCATCCACAAACTCAAATTCTGTTTTCTAATTCAGTTCAGCTACAAGAGGAAGAAACTGCCATCATGTGTTTACAAAATAGCCGGTGCTCCCAAGAATCCAGACTTGTTTGGGACACTGATATAACTAACAGTTTAAAAAAGGGAATCTGCCAATACAACTGTTTTCCAACATGGCCCACAGATCAGACCAAATTCAATCCTGCATACACACAGAAATTATACTATACATATCTCAACACAACAGAACCTGTAGACATAAAATGAAACACTGAATGTGATCCCCTGTATAAGTTTTTGTTTAAAGCATCAAATTCTTTGGCATATACCATATCCTATACAGCCATATAAAAATAGTTCAAAAGCTGAGTGTCTATTGTGATTCTGTCATGACTCTTCTTTGGCCAACAGTTTGAAGCCCCTTTTGAATTCTGGGGCTTTTGTCAAGAGCTGGTAATATATTCTGAGAAGAGAAGGAGCTCGAGTACAGACAAGACTGGGCACAAGGCATTAGAGATACACATGAGACCAAGTGAAATAAGCTACTTAAACACAAAATGCGAATTTAGCAATTTCAAAAGGACAACAGTACTCAAAAAGGCAACAATCCAAGATACAAGAAGCACAACTTCCTAAAATGACCTCATCCCACTGCTGTTTTGAGTGCTATATTTATTCAAATGTACCCCATCCGGCTCTCAATTAACTGCTTTCTCATTTCCAAATGCAGGTCTGCAGTGCAGAGAAGTGTAATTATTTACACACCACTCCATCATTGCCACTACTGTCTGTACTTCTAAAGCATCTTGATTACTCTACTGATGAGCACCATGGAAATGCCTATAAATAATCATCTCCCCTCATTAAGTTACAGTTCATGGAGTGGGGAAGGATGATTTTCCTTTGTATGTTCCTTTCGTAAATTTTATCGTTTCACAACAGAGGGAGTAACATGCCTCTGATGACACTCAAAGAGACAGACTGTCAGGATTCTTGTCAGCATTTCAGCTGCGAGCGGCTTGCAGTTCTGTATGAATATTTTCTCCTGAAAATAAAGTACCGTTTGTCAGAATTAGGCATTCAAGACTGTTTTTCTAATGTCAGATTCAGACATGCAAAAACCTTTAGTATCACATCAGAAGGTCAGACTTTATGGAGCAGTATGTCATGGAAACCTTAACAGCAAACACTGCGCTCACAGCAGAAGCTTCTGGCTTTAGCTTGCAACCCTGAGAACACACATGGGGGGGAGATTTCAAATGAACTTAGATTAAAATACAAACATTGAAGGAAACCTTCCAATAAGAACAAAGCACTGGTAAATAGATTTGATCCTCAGGGATCTCCAACAATAATTGACGCCACAAATATCAAACATTCCATTGCTGTCAAATCACAAAATCTCATTCCTCTCATTAACCACAATACTAAACGCACATTTGCATGCAGTGAAACTGCTGGTGGTAGCTCTCTAACACAATGAAATATCACGTCATAAAATGGTGAATTTTAAAGCCAGTAAAACAAGCTGAATGGGGTGTCTTCACTCACTGAAATCAGATTCCTGCAACAAGAAGCAATTGTGAAGTTCTCACACCACCCCAGTGAACAAAGTACGAAGGCACGAGTCCCCATATGGGTATGAGAGCTTGCTATGAGGAAAGCAAGGTTGCCTTCTATTTTGGGATTCAAGGAGAATCGTATATCTGTGGCTGCTATGGACAACAGTCTGCAGTAGGAATTGCTAAATTCCCTAGATCTTTGAGCCCCATGCTCAGCCATGTCCCCATGCAAGGCAGCAACTCCAGCACTGGATCGCTTTCTGCCCTGCAGCAGCATTTCTCTAGGCAGTCTGTAACTTCAGAGCAAGCAGCATTTCCCAAATTTCTGTTTAGGAATTAGCACAATTTCACAGGCTGGTCCAGCCAACAGGCCATAAGTACAGTCCAACTTATCATCTGATTCAGTCTTGCTCATAGAGCTGGAGAGGAAAACTATTCTTACTCCTGCAAATAGCTTAGAGAAGGAGAACAGAATGGTCTGACAAATTCATGAGGTATTCCTATTTCCATGCTCTGCCCAAAGCAGCACCTCACCTCCAACATGTTGGCTATTTCAAACAACTGAAACCATTTAGTGGTTCAGATTAAGATCTTGATCCACAACTGTCAGTGCAACAGCACTCTGTCAGCAGGAGGAGGCAACTGCTTTCGGGTCAGATCCATCCATCAAGCTCTTTTTAAAGCTGCTGTGACTCAAGATGCATGGTCTTGTGCCCACATACCATTTTCCTCAAAGAGGAAGGATCACTTGTCCCTCCCCTCCCTCTTCCCCCAGCCACTTTCAGGGTTCCCAGTACATCGCTCCCTGTATCCCTGCTTACTTACAACACACGGCCATACTTCTGGACAGCTTAGCTGGAAAGTCACCCACCCCTCTATAAGCTATGCAACTTATGAAGAAAAAGTGCTGAATATCCAACAGGCTAGAGTGACATGCTCCATTCAAGCTCCCAAATACTGCACCTGGACTGGGACACCTCATTAACAAACGTTTGGTGCTGGAAGGACGAACATTTTCATTTGTAAAGGCTACATGTTGTTTGCACACACTGCCTAGTGTTGGCAAGGTATTTGAATAATTTTCTCCAAAGATAGGAGCGAGAGTTAATTTAAAGCAATAGTAGCAAACCTTAGAATGGCCAGTGTCCTACCCCAACACAAGAGGTGGAGCAGAAAAAACAGATGCAAAAATAAGATTATCCCTCAGTTCCAGAAGACACAGAACTATTAAATTAAGCTCAGAATTTTCCTTGAAGAAGAACCTAGCTCTTCCCAGTCCTCTGAGTTATCCTCCACATTCCTTTAAGTGTTTTCATAGATACAGTAATATGAAATGTCTTATTGCTGTATAGCTGCTAATAAGAGACAGATGTGTCATTCAGTTCCAGGAAAATGTAGACATGAAGCACATTATGACAACCCACTAAATATTTTTGACCCAAATCCCTTTCTGCATGTTATCTCTTTATGCATTTAGTCAAGAAAATGCAACATAGTTCCATACTTTTCCTGCTAATTACTGAGCTAGCCAAAAGAGAATGCATGGATCAACTGCTTTATCTTAGCAAGGCCAGAGCAAATCAAGCAACACATTCACTTAGTGAATCCAGAGCTTGAGAGCTCTTGCAATTACTTCAGAGCTAAATCAACTGGTGGCTGTGAGCCGAGCTCCCCATGTTATTTATTTAGCTAGTCCGGAAGACACGCACTGCACACTGGCGTGCAGGACGAAGCATCTGTTTCACTCAGACGGTTGGCTGCATTCTTTACTTGATATTAATATCAGTGAAAATTTAGCAACTTAACCACTGGCATGGGAAGTCTGAATTTTAAGAGAACAGATGGCAGTGATCATCTCAGGTTAATTTTAGGCTTCAAAAATTGCTCTTAGTCAGCAAAGTGTCAAGATAAGAGGAAAATAAAAGGCAACATCTGTAAAATCTCCTACCTGTTTCCCGTCCAGAGTATACAGCTTTTTGACCACTCCTGTCTCCAGCTTGATAGCTTCAGTGATATCAGTGAGAACTTGCTCAAACGAATGGGCAGTCTTCTTGTTCAAGAGCACACGGACTGCTTTCCGGGGCTTCACCCCGCTACGGATGATGGTTACCAGCTTGGGCCGCACAAAATCTTTGTTCTCCTTTGCCTGGGCACTGTTGCTGCTGGCCAGAGACTGAGGTGCTTTCTGGTTGGCAGACGTCTTCACGTTGACAGACCAGTTCGGATTGACATTCTTGGTGTATTCCACCTTCTTGAAGAAGTTGTCAGATGAGCAGACATAACTTTCACCTTTTGAAAGAAATAAACACACAGTTCTTTCCATTAAACTCCCGAGAAACAGAAACTACACATCTTTCTCCCATTAACTATGCAAAACATTACTCATTGTTTTCATTAGAACTTCCATGTCAGCTTGTTATTAAAAGTCAATTTTATAACGTATATGCTTATTTGAAATATAATCTAGCATTTCCTGAAAGTAAGCAAGTCACACAACTTGCATCAGCAAATACACACCATCACTCAGTCACGTGAACCAGGGGTTAAACAAGATTGAGAATCGTAAAGATATTAGGTACCTGAAGATGCAACTAAGCTGTCTAAAAGCTCCTAACCACCTAATTCATTTAATCACCTAAATTATTTTGTAAATCTGCCAGCTCCCTCTCCATCTTTACAGACCTAGCTACGACTACAGTCTGTCAGCCCTTACTAAGAGGGTATCAACATCCGTCCACAAGGTACCTCTTTTGTCAAGGCTGAAGAATGATGAAAATCCAGTACTGAGTAATCTCTACCAAAAGCAGCTTTGATAAAGCTAACAGGCAGAGCAAATATGCTTCGTTGTAATGTCAGTGGTCTATTAGAAGTCAGACCTACTGGCAGCTGAGACAGAATACTACACCAAATACCACTGCTTGCTTTAAAATGGCTGGTACCAACCAAAAATACACTCAATCCAAAATTAGACATAGTAGAGAAGGGTTAAATGTTGCACAGTCTTATTAGTAATTCACTATATATATATATATATATATATATATATGTATATATATATATATATATATGTATATATATATAGATATCTCCCATCCAAAATTAGTTTCAAGCTTTGTCTGTAATTTATAGGATCCTATCTACCTAAGGTTTTATGATCACCTTAAAGAAGGATTTGTAGGATCTTCTTTGGGGCCTGCAAATCTGATGGATCCTAGAGGACTTATTACTAGAATGAGACTGTAAAAACAGTCTCCCTAAGGGAATGTAGCTGTCTAGTCTGAAATGACTCAGGCTGCTGAGCATTTGAGAATGCACTAAAAAAAAATAAAAAAATAAAAACAGCAGTCATTGCTAGAGGAAGAAGCTTTTGTCCTTTGTCTCACCATTAGATAAAATTTTAATAGGAACTGAAGGCATAACATGGGTACCTGTAGGATCTTAGGGAGTTTCTTTTGGTGCTTTATTGGACTCATCTTACAGAATGAAGTTCTTTAAACAATGTGATAGCTTTTAAATCAAAATATAGATTTAACTATTTTGAATAAGAAAAAAATCCTTCTTCAAATGCAGACTAGCTGCATTTCCTTATCGGTTACCTACTGAAAACTCTATGGCCTGAATAACTTTGAAAAGTCTGCCCAGCACCTGAACCTTGCTTTCTACCAGGGGATCTTATAGGACAGGATCTGACGTCTAATCAGCTGGGGTATAAATATGGATTTCCAAAGAGCCCACCAATTTCCATGAAGAAGTTATGGTCCAGGCATGTAACTCATACCTGGTACCACAGTGTTCATGTAGTTATTCTCCAGCTGACTAAACCTCATTTTTGATGGACATACTCCTATGATCCGTTCAAAGACTACATGGGAAGACAACTACCAGATATAATGCCATAGAAGCCTTTTAATAGGCTTAAAACAAAGGGATGCATAGTACTTATGTCCTTCCTACTGTGCTGTTTGATGTCACTAGCAGCCATGGAAACAATGCAGAATGGTTTTAGGTTTTTTTGTTTGTTTGTTTGTTTGTTTTTCCCTGATTTCGTATCCTGTTTGCCAGAAAGTGGTGAGTGGTGAGTGATTACACCACCAGCAGCAGCACTTCTGTCTCTGCAGCCATGTAGTGACCGAGATCATTTATCACCAAGAAGGAGGTATTGTTTTCCCTTTTGAAGGAAAAACAGAAATACAACAGAAATACAGAATGCAGAAAGCTGCCAGGCTTCGTGATGAACACTACTAGTTGGGCATTTTTTCAACTTGCGTACCCCACACTAACATAACCCCATCAGGAGGCTCTGGTGGCCTGACCAAAGAATACCAATCTATATTTGGGGCATGCATGCTGTCAGAAAAAAAAACTCAGACTATGAAGTTCCCATAGCTGAAGCTCCTTAGTGTCTCACATTGCTCAAATTGGATGCAATAGAAGCACAGATACCCCAAAGTGTTCCATACATTGTAAGGAATTCCCACTGGAAACAGATGGTTTTTCAAAAGCACTCAATTCGATGAATCTTTCTCATTAATAAGTGATAAGCTGTGGTTTATCTACCTGCTTCAGCCAAGCGACATCTGGTGTGGAGGGTGCCTGTGCTTCTCAAGTTTCATAACCAAGCGTGAAGCACAGCAGAGTTTGGGATGCTCAAATTGGGGAATTAACTCCAAGAACCTGAGCCTCCCTGAGCCAGTAACTCCCAGGCAGAGGCGTTTTTGGAAGCACGCTCCTTGGAACAGTAACATGATGCTCTGAGAAAAGGGATTCCTGTGTTTAAATGCGTTACTAGGAATAAGTGACTTGAGTTCTACTCTTACCTCTGCCCTAGGCCTCCTTGTGGAAGCTCCTGACCTGTGCCTCTGCTTCCCTACCTGAAAAGTAGAAGTAGCAATACCTGCTGCTGAGGGGCTGCCAGGCTTGACTACAAGCTGTTTACATAATACTTTGGGATGCAACAACGAAAAATGTATGTATTCGTGCCGTGTCCTATCAAACCATGAGGTCTTAAGGTATATTTTCTATTAATAAGTTCCATATTTTATATTAAGCAAAAGAGATTATTGGTCTGTTTAGTAGAGCTAGCTGTCCAGCGTATCTAGAACAGCATACACTGAAGGCAGCAATGGCATAAGGCAATACTCTTCTGCTAGGCTTTGTTTCCACAAATGCAGTATTAGGTCACTGTATACACACTTTGAGATTACATCACAGTCACAAGTGGAAAATCTAATCAGCTTTTTCACTTTGTTTCATGTAACCAACCCCTAGCGGATATTTTACAGAATTCTAAAACTGGCCCAAAATTTGCTTGGAGTGACGTGGCTCTGCCCTTCAGCATAGCAGCTCTTCTCAGCAGCATTTCCAGTTAGAGCAGGATAGCTCCAGGGAAGAGGCATTTCCTTCTTCCCCTGACCTACAGATGTAACCTGAAATGTTAATTTCATTTAAAGATAACAATTTACGTCTTTCCAAATCCAGTTTATGGCTCTCGAATAATAACCACATAACTGAAGTTCCTCAGTAAGACATATCCCTTTTACCAATGGCCAGCCTGGAACATTTCCTCTTTTACTTCCTACAGCTGAGCTTTACACAAATTTTACCAGAAGGTAGTAGCAGGACCAAGCAAAAATGGTCTGAAGTCACAAGAACTTTCCGGCTTTGAACATGTGTGTTGTGCCCAGAGGATCTCTAAGGAGAGAAATCTCATGGAGGATATTTCGATCAGAGAGGAGCGTTTTCTTTGCTACATTCATCTGTGCTAAGCCTATGTTGAGAACTGAAGGTGTGCAGCTCCATCAGAAATGTGCCTGATCAGCACAGCATGGCTGTAGAAGTGCACAGGTTAACAAAGGAAGGCGAAGAAGCAGATATGAGATTCACACAAGAGCAAAAGAAATGGCTCCAAGAAGTACATTGATCGCCAGCCCTGAATATAAAAATCTGTGCACAAATATTTTCAGGAGCACGTCGTTAGACAGCAAGCAGCTGTGTGCACGTGCAGAAGCACAGCCAGAAGCCCTGAGGAGGTATGATGAACGGCCATGTCACTGCTTCCAACAGAGCCCTGAGCAGCAGCCCCAAAGAGAGCCTCGTATGAGAGCTAGGAGGCTTCAGTAAAAGCAAGAAACATCCCTGACAACACCCAACCTGCTGCTGGCAGTGACTGCAGGCGTGACACCAGTGGTGAGATGGGCAGCAGCTTTCTCGTGCAGTGCTGGGTCAGTGCAAGATGCCCTTTCTGCATCGCGAAGCCAAAGCCCTGCAGGATGACGTGCACTTGGCATCATGCAGCGTGCTCTGGAGGTGTCACTGTTTGTGTTGTGCCACCAAAGCAGCCAAGGCATTTACTTGTGCCTTCTGTCCTGCCCTAAGCAATAGATGGACTGCAAGCGGAGCTTTGCCCTTAGGTCATCAGCAGCACATTTGCCATTTGAAGCCATGGCTCGTATCACACAACTGTTCTGGCTCCAAGTGCGTTACCCGGTACTGTGCGGCCAATTTGATAGAAGCACAAGGCGATTATTCAGCTCCTACAGAAGGGATGATCTCAGCAAAGATAAGGTTTGCCTTAGAGAAGGTTTCTTAGCGAGACTCTAAGCTCAAGATGAGTGCTAAGCCTTCAACCCTCTTACAGCAGCTCTTTTTGACAATACTAAATACGACAGGCTGCGCTTTCAAAAAAGTTATCCTCTCGCAGCATGCACCAGCAAGTTTTGCATGCACCAGCAAGTTTTCAAGTGTAATGAACTACGTGCAGTACTGGAGAAAAATTGCAAAAGCTGGACTGAGGCCATTTTGAAAGTGTAAGTGCTAACAGGTATTCCAAAAACTGTCTCTGTAGGCTGCAGTCAATTATTCTGGTCGTTAGCTCGACTGTCTCGAAGTTTAGGCTTTGCTACTGTGCCCAGCTTTCGTGTTTTGTGGGATTTACCATTACTCCAGTAGGAATTTAATGGGCTGCATGCCTTGCAGAGTTCACTATATATTGTGTTAAAGCAGGGCTTTAAAATCAAATGCATGAACTTCTTGCTACTTTATGCATTACAAATGATCTTCCTCTGCTTCAAGACCTACTCCACCATGGCAAAATGAACCGTGGAAGAGTTTCCTTCCCCCCTGGCTGTTCCACGAGGAGCTCTCCCATGAGAGAAGCTCCTCTTGTTCTCTTGAAAAAAATAAAAATAAAGAAATGTGTGATTACCAAATTGCCGTCACAGCCATGTGATGCTCATAGAGAATTTGTCGTGCCAGATTATCTGCAGGGACCATACCAGTTCTGGCGTGGT